TCAGCTGACATTCATGGGCAAAGAAACCACCCTCAAACCTACCGCCCCCCAAAAGGAGTTCCCTGTCGTTCTTATTAAAATATAATATTTTGGAGGAGCATAGTACATAGGGATTTACCTTTGCAAACTGAAATGTAAAAATATAGGACTCACTTTAAACACATGTCAGTTCCATGGGATGGGTATCTATGAATAGAAAAAATCTGTATACAAGGCAGAAATCTTCTCTTTCATGATGGTTTTAGAGAGAAAAGTGAACCCTGAAAGAACTTTGTTATTCCAAGAGCCTGTTGGTTGACTGACCAAAGTCCTTTGGTTCAAAATATAAGTTAATGGGTTAGCATGTATCTTTGATACTTGTAGGACTGGTGTTAGTACTGGTAGTATTTTTTTAAATTAGCTGGCATCGAATAGTTCTTTCGTGAGTCATGTAGTACATTGAAGTAGAATGTGTTTATCTTAAATCAGAAGTTCTCAAACCTGCTGAAATGATAGATGAATTTATTGGATCCCACCCCATGAATAAACTAATAATTTAATCAGAGCTGGGAAGAAATATATATACTGCATTTCTGCATATTTTAATTTATCTTTCACAGAAGTTCTCACACTTTGAAGTACAATACTAACCACTGAGTTTGGACAGGAAATAAGAAACAAAGCCCAGAGTGAATTATGGCAGTTGTCCTATTTAATCTGTGCAAGTATGATCACGTTTTTTTTTTTTCCATTGTAATCCCCTAATCCACGGAATGAACAACTCTACCGTCTGCAATTATAGCAATGCTGCTGGTAGATGTCTATCAATTTTGGGGTTTAAGGCAGGGTAAACCTTGCCATATTCTTTAAAATGCTGGGCTAGCATTAGCATTGTCCGTCATCAGAAATTATTTCCTGCCTTAAGATATTAAATCAAGCATGCAGAATAAGACAGCAACCTTTGCCACGGGGAAGTTTGATTCACAGCACTATACTATAGAACATCCACTAGGACCTTGCTACCACTGCCAGCTAATGTATAAGATACATCCACTAGTAAAATGATTGCTAGACTTGGAGTTCCCAGGAAATTTTCAGCAGGGATATAGCACTGTGTGATAAGGTTCCTCCTAAGTTATCCTGCTCTCTTTATTCATTTATAAAGCTTACCTACCTGCAGTGCAATGAGTCCAAACTTGATTCTTTTTTTTTTTTTTTTGCCTATTAGACTCTTTCTTCTGAAGCTCTGGAAAAATGTAGATGGCAAATACTCAAGTAGATGCTGTTCTCACTGCAGTAGGTAAATACTGGCAGTTTTAGAATGATCATTTTCTAAGAAGCGTTTGAACATTTTGATGGTTATTTCTGAATGATGTGCCTCTGTCCCAGTTCAGTAATCTGTAGGTAGCTAAAAGAGAAAGCTAAGTGCAAGTGAGCCAGTGGAAGGGGAATAAGTTGCAGGTATCCTTTTGTACCGCAGGTAAACGAAGGAGATGTGCATACTGCATGTATATGAGAATCGGGCTCAGGAGAATGGGGAAGTATTGCCATTGTTATCAGATGTTTCTCCATTTACCAGTGAATGCATTTATGGGAGATTTATGTCCTTTTGTCTGGAAAAAAAAGATTACAGCCTTCTGCAGTGTAGAAGGGTATCGTGAATCATCATATGGAACTTTGAAAATTAAGATGTCTGAGCCAGAAGAAGATCTGCAACCCAGTCTTAGATGATAATGGTGAAAAGCAGCTTCATACGTTAAGGCTGTTTCTTAAAGGGGAAGCAGTATTCAATTTTGTGGCATGGGGGTTTAGCACATTTCCGAGACCTTTGGGTCAGGATAATAGGATTAACATGACACATAAGGAAATGAGGAAGGAAGAAAGAGGAAGACAAATTTCCCAAAGAATTGACCTTTGGATTTGTTTTTTATCCACAAAAAGTATTTGTAATTTGTTACCTATTCTGTTAGGCACTATGACAGGCTAGCAGAATAAGATGATGTTTCTTTATTTTTTTACGTTACTGAATTGATTCATTTTTTTTTTTTAGAATTATATCCTGTCTTTTCTCCAGGTCCTCAAGGAAACTTCACTGATGAGTTTGCTTGGAATTGCTAACAGTTTCTGTTCCTTCCATTGTTGATATTTCATGCTGGGACAAAGTTTTGCAACAGCATGTAGAAAGCCAATTGGTGACTCTCTCTGGCTTGCTCAAATATCTGAGTGTTGAAATCTGGCAAGGATATACTCAAGGAAGATTAATATAAAGTATGTTTTTACAGTGGGTTGATCAATTTCTGAATATTAAGAAGTTTGTTTTTAATTTCTGGAGTGCTTATTTGAGACAGAATATAAGGACTGATATGATGAATTTGATGAATACAGTACCAAACAATAGACATCAAATGATGATGTGAACTAGTTTTGATTTTTTTTTAGCCCTTTATAATGGGTGATTTGGCAGAGAAAGTAGTAAGTATTGTAAGAGAAAGACATTATAACAAATACATTATGACTAGCAGTTATTGGTAATCTAATCATCCATTAATTTCTCTAAGCTGTCTTTAACAATAACTAAATGGCAGCTAGTGCCATGGAAACAAAAAAATGTGGTTCAAAAGTGCAGTTTTATGGATCTAGTTTGAAGTTATTGATGGAAAAACTTTTTAAGTGATTCAATATCTTGCTGCCTTTCTGGAAGCTCTAACCTGTGGGAACTGGAGGAGACAATACCATTTTCATCATCAGATAAGAAGTGTTGTAGATGAAAAGTCCTAGCTTAGCAACGTTGCTAGCAATAACCAGGCAGATGTTCATGAAAAATAGACAGTGAGGACAGGAAGGTGACAGCTTTTTAAAAAACTATTATTACATCTATTGACTGAGATGTTGAACTCTGAAGGTTTCCCAGAAAAATGAGAGGGACCATAGTTCAATCAACAGCAGTGTTCTCCAAAACTCTCAAGGGCAATTTCAGGCAGTTCCAGTATAAAAGAGTTTACAGTAGCTCTGAGAATGTTTCAAGAGCGGTTTGAAAGAAATGTTACGGAATGCATTAGAGTAGGGGTGTCAAATTCGATTTCATTGAGGGCTGCATCAGGGTTGTGTTTGACCTTGGGGATGGGTGGGTGCGGCCAGCTTGATGTCACTCCTGTCGGGGGCACCTGTGGTGGCCTGAGCTCTCTGCCAGTGAAAACAGGCTCCCGAGTTCTGTTTTTGGCTGCAACCCTCTGCCGGTGAAAACAGAGCTTGGGAGGGCCACACGCGGCCCTTGAGTATATCCTTGCCAAAAAGGAGCTCGGGAGCCCGTTTTCACTGGCAGAAGCACTGCAGGCCAGTCCTTCGCTGTTTCCAGGGTGGCCCCATGGGCCTTGAGTTTGACATCCCTGTATTAGAGCAAAAGCATAAGCACCTCTTTAAAGCAGCTGTCTCTTTTTTTTTCAGAATAATGATTGGAAGCCTAACAAAAGAAACAACTACTAGAAATAGATGCTATGCTTGCATTCTTGTGTATTCAAAAACATTGGGATCATTTAGAAACATGCACAGTCCTAATTTAGAGGAGCACACATTCTATTCCTGAATAATACCTGGACATGGTACAGAAACAGCTGCATATATTTCATAACGAAAGTCTATTGTCAGTAGGTTTATCTAGCCATTAAAAAGAAAGAGAAATTTAAGTTAGATATAACCATTGCCTGCCATATTTTGTGATGTATTCCTTCCCCCCTCAGTGATACATGTCCTTTATTGTGTGCTTTTTTTCCTATTCCTTTCTCAGTTTTCTGTTATACTAGTGGATGAAGCTTTCCTGGGGAGGAAAGCTATGGCAAATCTAGACAGCATTCTAAAAAGCAGAGACATCACCCTGCGAACAAAAGTGCGTATAGTCAAGGCTATGGTTTTCCCAGTTGCAATGTATGGCTGTGAAAGTTGGACCATAAGGAAGGCTGAGCACCAAAGAATTGAGGCCTTTGAACTATGGTGCTGGAGAAGACTCCTGAGAGTCCCTTGGACTGCAAGGCAATCAAACTGGTCAGTCCCAGAGGAGATCAACCCTGACTGCTCTTTAGAAGGCCAGATCCTGAAGATGAAACTCAAATACTTTGGCCACCTAATGAGAAGGAAGGACTCACTGGAGAAGAGCCTAATGCTAGGAAAGATTGAGGGCAAAAGAAGAAAGAGATGACAGAGAACGAGGTGGCTGGATGGAGTCACTGAAGTAGTAGGCATGAACTTAAATGGACTCCAGAGGATGGTAGAGGACAGGAAGGCGTGGAGGAACATTGTCCATGGGGTCGCGATGGGTTGGACATGACTTCGCAACTAACAACAACAAAGTAGATGAAGAGATGCTCTTCACTGACTGAAGCTTATTTGGATTTCTGGCAGCCTACTGTGATGTGGAATGGGCCCATGTGGAATGGACTTCGTCATTGGTTCAAATACCATTCCATGGTGTGACTTAATTGGATTTGTCTTAGCATCTTTTGTGAATATAATCATTATGATTTATAAATTGTACTTTCTGGCTTAACATTCAGGGTGTGAAGCCAGCCACTTTGGCTTATTCAGAAAAACAATTATATAAAATTTGGCTTTGTGCAATATGTACAAATCTAGTTGCTATATATGTTGTGAAGCTGTTTCCCTCTTATTTTGCCTTTGGAAATACTGTCAGTAGTGTAGAGTTTATGGTAAGGTTGTTATATATGAACTGCAAAAATCCAGATGACCTCCAGATGGTCGCAAAGAGAGGTAGAATATTCTACTACTTTGCAGTCCTCTTCTGGTCATTTAGATCTTTGCAGCCCAAATATGAAGGGTCCAGTTTGTAGGAAAGCTGGAATATTGCTTGGTATTCTTATATGTTGGCATTTTTGTAATCATGCACTTTGGGAGAGCTATCATTTCAGTACCTATGATGCTAGGTGAATAGGAAGGATGTGTGCTTAAATATTTGAAACAATCTTTTGTGGATTTTAGTCCATGTAGCACGGTGCTGTTTTTTCTCTCAGATCTCAACTGAAAATGGCAGATTGACGTGTCAGTGAGAATTGGCTGTACTAGTTCACGCTGCAGGTAGGTGAGACATTTTAATGAAAAAAAAAACCATTGCCTTACACGAACTCATTGCAATTAGAAAATAAGCATAGCAAAGAGCGAGGACATATCCAGTTTCTTCCTGATGTACTGCCTCTTTAGTTATAAAAAATGCTCCATTCCAAAGTGGTGTTTTAAAAATGACAATAAAATATCTGAAACTTTAGGAGCAGTTCTCTATTACCACTTTCAAACTGGACCACCTTATTCTGTTTGATGGCAAGATTAGGCCTTCCAGCACTACAAAGTAAAAGAACACCACTCTGTTTTGCAAATGGAAACATACATTATTTTAATTGTAACTGATTACCAAGATAGAGACCAGAGTTTAAGCATATCCATATATCTGATACACAAAACTTTTTAATTATGATGTACTGAGAAAAAAGAATCAGTTTCTATCTGACATAGCTTACACCACTTTCTTTGGACACTACCACTTTCTTATCACCTCCTTTCAGTCAAGGGATTGTTAAATTTATGGCCGATACAACTAACAGGTAGCCTTGCAAAAGAAGCTCATCATTTTCCCTCCTGGTGATATCTGAGCTTGTTTTCATATCGTCGTCTTTTGTTTGGAGCCTGACTTCCTAAATTAATGCATCCTGAAATAGTTTTCTTGTGAGCAAGATGTTGTTTTTTTCTTTCTTTCCTTCTTTAGTAGTGTGAGAAGTTCTTTTGATTAAACACTGAAGGGAAGATTCGAGTGTGTTCGCAAATAGATGCAATTTAAGTATAAGATTAGCACATACAAACATCAAATCGCTTTCTCACTGTAAAACTGCCTTCCAGCTTCAAGAGTGGGAAATCATTCTTCAAATAGTGGGTTGGCTCAAATTCTCACAGTGTAACTGTGAAATGCACACTTTATTTTTATCTTCTGTCTGCCTTTTTTAAATGCTAATGTGAAGTTCTGATATTTATATAAAAATCTGTTTTCTGTCAGAACAGTTCTGTACTACCTAGGCCCTTCATAACACAAGCTGCAGAAGAATTTGGCATCCTGAAAATCTTTGAAAATAAAAACAGCAACAAAATAAAGGAAGTTGCCAATTTTTATGGTTCAGAGAACAGCTTGGATGCATGTGGGCAGACAATGGGTGAATACAAGGAATTGACTGTGTGATCAACTGTGGGCAGGTGGGAAATAATACTGGTATTTGGAAGGCATCTGGATCATCTAGCTTTTTACTGAGATGAGTAGAGGGTCTAAAAAGATGCCAGTAAATCTGCAGAAATCATAGCACCTGTTGTTGTTGTTGTTTTGCAAAATTAGGTGAAAGCTTAATACTTCAAGTTAAATTACATTCAGCAGAAAAGCAGAAGATACATGTATTAATTCATATATTAATAATATTTTAAGAGTTAGCATTTTAAGAAAACAGAGGCCAAAGTTCATATCGTTAAAAACAAAGAAATAGTCAACCATTTTGTTGCCTAAATAAAATTTTTTTCAGGGCCTTGGAATCAGGGAAATATTTCTGCCCTCATTGCCCAAAGAGACAGCTAAGGCAAGAGAACAAGGCTAACAGGTAAATCAGTCAACCAATAAACCAACTTGAGGTGCAAGTGATGGCGTCATTTTCACAGTTAGATGGTGCCATGATCCAAACTTTCCAAGATCCTAATTTTCAAGCTAATCCTTTGTATGGTTTGTTTAGATTTCTCTTAATGTAAGATCTGAATCTAGCCTTTGTGGTTTATAACCCATGCTACGTAGTTTAGTGTGCTGTCCAAACCTAGCCACCTGTACTTTATTCAATGAATCATTGCTAAATAAACCATAGCATAGCACAATGTGTGAATCTACTCCAGTGGTGAAATCTAAAATTTGTTACTACCGGTTCTGTGGGTGTGGCTTGGTGGGGGGGGTAATGTGACTGGGTGGGCATGGCCAATTTTTTAAAAAAAACTTTTAAAACCATTTTTAAATTTTCTTCATCTTCGGTGAAGAGGTTGTAAAAAATGCTTTCAAAAGGCTCTGATGATCCCAGCTGAGTTGCCTGATCAACAGAGGCTTTTTTTTCTTTTAAAAGCCTCTGCCGATCAGGCAACTCAGCTTGGATCATCAGAGGCTTTTAAAAGAAAAAAAGCCTCTGCCGATCAGGCAACTCAGCTGGGATCTTCAATCTGAAGAAGTTGTAGAAAAAATGCTTTTAAAAGCCTTTGACGATCCCAGCTGAGCCGCACGATCGTCAGAGATTTTTTTTTTACTTTTAAAAGCATTTTTTTCGCCCGAATTTTAAAAAAAAATCCTTTAAAAAAAAAAAAACCTCTGATGATTTTGTGGCTCAGCTGGGGATTGGGGGGGGGGAGCAGGGATTTTTGCTACCGGTTCTCTGAACCACCCGCCTCCATCGCTACCGCATCAGGCGATCCGGTCCGAACCGGGAGTATTTCACCCCTGATCTACTTTAAAATAATCTGATTTAAAGCAGTTGATAAGTGCAAAATTTTGCTTTTGAGAGTATGTGGGGGGGGGAGGGGAAGAGTAGATACTTGCCCTGAACTTCAGTTTTCTCCCTGTCTTGTGATTATAAATCAGTTTCCCCTATCTTGGTGCTCTCTGGATGTACTGGGCTACAATTGAAAGGATTTCCCAGAGGCATAGAAGGAATAAAAACCTGGTAGATCTCCAATGAAGAACAATTTCAGAGGCTTGTTATTTAAAAATTAGCATTAAAAAAGTAACACAAATGAAAAGAGAAATTCGCAACTCCGAAGGGGTTATTTAGTAGTTATTTTTGGTTGAGCAAGGACTAAGACGCTAATGAAAAGCTTAATTATCTGCAAGCTAAAAAATATTCCAGGGGTAGTCAAATTCTTCCGGAATCCTACCTTAGCTGAATTGTTTTGCTATTTACATTTTTATTTAAAGCATATGCCTCTGGTTATCAGATTTACAAGCTTTGTGGAACTTCTAGCTGCTGGTTGCCATCTAGTTCCAGAACTAATAGGCTTTTTGAACTCATCCAATATGTCAACTATTATGCTCAAGTAACTGAGAAGATGCCTGTGTCCACCAGAACTTTGTCTATAACCCATAGGGAAGCTGTGCTCCTTTGTCTATCGAATAAGTCCAAGAATCTCAAATTTACAGAGCTATTGAGAGATAATTTAGTGACATCTGGAAGGCCGTACATTCCATGCCTCTGTAGAGAAAGGTAAAATGAGGAGTTGCATTATTTGAAATCAGACATTATGAACGTATTTATTTATTTATTGGCTATATACCATGCATTTCTGCCAATGAATGGCACTCAGTGTTTCTAAGAATAAGAATAAAAACAATATTGAATAATTCAAGGTCCATTAAGAACACAATAATAAACAACTGTACCACCAACTCAACTCAGCAGCCAAAACCCACTTACACACCAAAGTACTACATAAGTAAAAACTTATTGTGTGCCAGCAGAAAGGTGATTGAAAGGCAAACAGTCTGATCGTTTTGGCAGAGAATTTCAATCCTGGGAACAGCCACCAAGAGGGTCCTTTCTTGTGTTTTCATCAGACATCTCCGAGAACTCTTCCTTTGCATGTATGTACAGAGACAAGTGTAGTTGTACTGGAAAAGTGCAGATTTTCCAGCCCTCTGCTCCTGCAATCCACCTCTGGGTTCTCTTCTTCCTCGCTTCCTATTGACTGGGTGATTCTTTTTAACTGTCTCTCCGTGCTGTGGCCACACCCACTTTCCCATGATGCCCCAGTCTTTTCACTCAGTCGCTGACTGACTGGTGTGCTTTTCTCTTCGTGCTCACGTTTTGGAGAATTTAGCAGTTTGCGTTAGGTTTTTTTTATTTATTTTTCTTAGTAATTTTTTGTCTGATCGGTGAGAGCCTCTCTTGGTGAGCTGCGGGGCGCGAGATAGGTGCCTGGGGAGCCGGCACGTCCTCCGCCTGGGGGTTTCACATTTCTGACAGCAGCTCGGGTTACCGGCCCTTCGGGGCGGTTCCCTCTCTTATTTCTAGCCGCCGGTGTGGAGCGCGGGGGTTTGCGATTGCCGCATCTCCTCCCCCACACCAATTTTCTGCACGTTATTTTTGGCTCTCTTAGGGCGGCTCCGGAGTGCTCCGCAAGGTTTGCCCTGCGGCCTCTGACGTACTATTCAATTTCTCACCGCTGCCGTTTGTGTGCGCTGCGATCCATTTGTCAGCCTTTCAAAGTTGCCGCTCGGGGCTTCAGGCGCCCAGGCAGAGTCGGAGACTTCGCTCCAGCCCGCAGCCTCGTGGAGAGTGTCGGCTGCTGCGGTGGTGAGGTTGTGCTGACGCCCGTCCCTCGGGCGGCGTCCGGCGAAGCTTGCCCTTGATCCCTATTTGGATGCGAGTTCCAGCCGCCTGTGTTGCCGCCATTTCTGAACGGCCCAAGGCCGCCATTTTGTCGCAGTTTTCCTGGCAGCGATTTGGCGGGCGCCATTTTGAACGGCAAAGTCGCTCTTTAAAGGCCGCTTTTTTCCTGGGTCACCCTCTCTCTAAGCCATATAGTAGTTGGGGTGTACGCCTGCTTGTCAGCCTGCCCAGTTAAGTGGACCTGCTGTCTGTTGTCCCACTAATTTTATTGGAGCCTGGGCAGTATTTATTAATTCCCTGTGACATCTTGGCCAGCCTTTGTTTTTTTCCTGGCGGAGGTAGCTTTGGCTGGGCTGCCTCGGCCACCCTCGGAGTTAAAGAGGGCTAAGTGTATATAGTTCAGCTTGTGTTTGGATATATATATATTAAAAAAAAAAACAAAAAACGGTTGGTTATATTTAATCTTATTAGTCATGGCAGATGCCTTTTTTTCCTCTGATGAGGAGCGTGAGCCCAGCCCCCCTAGGGCTCCACCCAAGCACAAGTCCAAATCTCGTAGCGGAGTCGTGTCTGCTCCTGAGGACTCCCGCCAGCCTAAATCATCGGCAGCGGCGGATAAGGACGCACAACGATGCCACAGGGCTCTGGAGCGCCAATATGACAAGGCCAGGCAGGCCACATTGGCCTCTGTTTTTCCGACTGGCCAGAATCCACCACCTTTGGCACCTGCGTCTGGTGGGGCCCAGGCGCCTGATCCACCACAGCCAGGTACCTCTGGACAGCTGTCAAAAAGAGCTTCAATCTCGTTGCCTGATGTTTCATCGGTGGGCTTGCTCAACCCCGCCCCCCCTCCTGTTTCTCGCCCTGAGGCGACTTTCACACCAACCGCCGCTGGTCTTCGCGGGGCTGATGGACAATTATTGCATCCCCAGATGGACTTGCAGTTTTTGCTGTCTAACGCCTTGTCTTCAATTTTGGCCACGGGAATCCAGCAACCGTCCTTGCCTCTTGTACAGATGGCCCCCCATCAGGTGCCACAACCTCCTATGGCACCGACTCCGAGGCCTTCTCACCTTTTGGCGCCTGATTCTTCGGATGAGTCCGATCAGGGGGAGAATGTTGTGGAGGATTTAGAATTTTCAGAGGACGAGGGCCTCGCTCCTGATGTTCCTGCCTTTACGGGGCTGTTCAGGCCTTCATTGTTTAAATCTCTTCTACATAAGGCTCGTCAGGTCACTAACATGTCTGCCTCTGCGCCTGCAACATCTGAGACTGCGGCCGCGTCGAACCCCCACGAGGCCTTGTTCTCCTCTTCCAAGCCGGGCAGGGACTTCATTCCCTGTCCTCAACTTTTTTCTGACGTCCTACAATCTCCTTGGTCTCAACCAGCGTCGTCAACGGGCCCCAATAGCATTGATAAGAAATTATATTGTGCGGCACCAGACTTGGACGCTATGCTGTCTTTGCCCGTGGTGGACACACCCATTGCCAACCTGTGTTCCTCGTCTTTTCTGTCAACAGACGCGCTGGACGGCCTTAAATCGGAGGACAAGAAGTCTGAGCTTTCCTTTCGTAAAGAACATCAAGCCCTGGCGTGGGCTATTAAGACCGCGACCGCTACATCCTTTTTTAACCGGGCAACTCTGCTTTGGTTGCGGCAGCTTCAGGACAGGCTACCACCAGAAGACACACGCCTCCACCAGGACATAAACAAAATTGTGGCGGCCACAGAATATTCGGCCGATGCATCTTTGAATTCTGTGAAGTTTACATCCAGGGCATTGGCCTCGTCTATTACGTCCCGTCGTTTATTTTGGCTTAGGAACTGGAAGGCCGACGCCAAGGCCAAATGGCGTTTGGCAGCGGCACCCTACAAGGCTCCGAATCTGTTTGGCTCCGCCCTAGATCCTGTCCTTATCGAGGATAAGGATAAGAGGAAGATTATGCCAACTTCCTCATATCGCAGATCTGAACGACGCTATACGCCTTACTATCAAAGACAATCCTTTCGGGCGACATCGGGGTCAGGGGGCGCCTATTCGCAACGTTCGCAATTCTTCGGCCCCGACCGTTCCTCTGATCGCCAGCGGTTCCGTGACAGAACCAGGAACCCCACGGTCTCCAAGCGTCCTTTTCGAGGATCCGGATACCGACAATTCCGCAGGGGGAAATGACTGCGGGACTCAGGATCCCATTGGAGGTCGTCTGCAGCTTTTCCACCATCAATGGGAGCAGTCGACCAC